TAGCTCTTAGCAATTGTTGGTCTGGTGTCTTCAGCTTCTTCTTCAAAATACCCCACATATTCTCTATGGGTCAGGTCAGGGGAATTTGCAGGCCAATCGATGGACAGTAATGCATGGTCAGTACACCAGTTACTGGGTGGGTTTGGCCACTGTGGCAGGTGCCAGAATCATGCTGGAAAATGAATTCCATCATCTCCATAGAGCTTTTCAGCAGGACCGGAAGCATGTAGTGCTCTAAAATCTCTTGGGTACACAGCTGCATTTACTCTGGGCTTGATGAAAACAGTGGAACAACACCAGCAGCTGACATGGCTTCCCCAAACCATCCGCTGACTGTGGGAACTTCACACTGATTTCAAGCAACTTGGGATTTGCTCCTCTCCAGCCTTTCTCCAGACTCTGGCGCCTTGACTTCCAAATGAATACAAAAACTTGCTTTCGTCTGAAAAGAGTACTTTGGACCACTGTGCAACTGTCCAGTGCTTCTTTTCTTAGCCCAAGTCAGACGCCCTCTTCCGTTTGTCTTGAGTTCAGAAAGTGGCTTGACCATGGGAATACGGCTATTGTAGCCATTTCACCGGACACGTCTGTGAACAGTGACTTTTGGATACCTTGGACCCAGCTTCAGTCCACTGTCTTTGAATGCTCCCCCAAATTCTGGAAGCGACTCTTCTTCACAATGCTGTTAAGGCTGCGGTCATCTCTCTTGGTTGTGCAGCGTTTCCTGCCACATTTCCCCCTTCCAACAGACTTTTTGTGGATGTGCTTTGAAACTGCACTCTGTGAACAGCTTGCTCTTTGAGAAATTTCTTTTTGTGTCTTACCCTCCTGATGGAGGGTGTCAATGACGGTCCTCTGGACAGCAGTCAGATCAGCAGTCTTCCCCATACTTGTGATTTAGTTTACTGAACCAAGCTGAGTGTTTTTCAAGGCTCAGGAAACCCTTGCAGGTGTTTCGAGTTAATTAGACGATTCAAGTGATTCGTTGAACACCCTACTAGTATACTTTTTCATGATATTCTAATATTTAGAGATAGGATATTTGAGTTTTCTTAAGCTGTATGCCATAATCAGCAATATTAAAATAATAAAAGGCTTGCAATATTTCAGTTGATTTGTAATGAATCCAGAATGTATGACATTTTTGTTTTTTTAATTGCATTACAGAAAATAAAGAACTTTATCACAATATTCTAATTTTCTGAGACAGTCCTGTATTATGTATTGCATTAAATGTCACGCTGAGTACTTCAAAATGTGTGGCAATGTTGTTGATCTCTATAGGTTGAAAATATATATTAAATAGATAAAAACAAATAAAGAATAATAAACATATTTGCATGAATATTTTCTTTAACGGTAGCAATTATGTTCTATTATTATATTTTCACCACATCTATATAACTTCAGGTGCAGCTGACACTGATGCTGTTTCTCACCCAGCACTTTGGAGCCCTGGTTGGGTCCGTTGGGCAGGGGCCAGTCAGGGGTGCTGTGCTTTCCTCTCAGTTTGATGGTCAGCTGACCTCTGAACGGCTCGTCGTCCCAGCCTGCGATCAGCCTGCCGCCCTGGAACAGGAAACACACACATCACACACACATCACACACTGCAGCGGAACCAGCTGTCATTCAAACGGTTTCCAGCGGTGTGAAGACTTTTTACTCAACTTCTTTACTTTAAAACAACTTTGAGGTACCTTCCTTGAGTATTTTCACTTCTCTTTACTACATTTTGGAGGCAAATATTATACATTTGACCTCAGTATGTTCATTTTAAAGTTACTTTGCAAAGTATGAATCAACTTACAGATGATATAATACAGCTAACCACTGTTATACAAAAACAATTAACATAGCTCCACCTTTGGAAGATACAACATCAAAATGATAAATATGTTAGATGATCAATAAAAATAAAATGAAAAACTATGGTGAACAGAACAAAAATGAAAAAGAGAGACAGCACCATTTTAGACAGGTCAACTGAACAATGTTTAATCTCTAAATAAAGCGAGGAACAGTGATGGCAAGATCTGATTTAAGAGGATAAAACAGAAGAATAGAAAAACAAGTGAAAAATGTAAGAATGTTTAAAGGGGCGCTATTATGCTTTTTAGGGTTTTCCTGAAAATAAACGTCTGCACTTAGGGGGACGAAGGCAGCAGCAGTGTGCCGCCTGCGACTCCCCCCCATTTTAGTGAGTTATCTGACGTATGAGGAACAAAACATCGTATTAGGTGATAAGAATAGTTACATTCTTAATTTTAAGTAACATTTTAGGTACTAAATGAGGAGACCCTGACCTGGATGGAGATGTAGACGGCGTCCACCACCACCGTGTTGTATACTGGCACCTCCCGGGCCTGTCTGATGGACGAGCTGTTCAAGTGGTCGGGAATCTCCAGAACTCCAAGCACGGTCAGCTTATTGAGCGCGGGGGTGTCACTGTCCAAAACCACCCACTTTCCTGTGGTTTAACAGGAAGGAAAAGTATTATAATATGATATCTGGCACAAACTGAATCTTCATTCGTCATTGGCAGAGGTGGGAAGTAGAGGAGTACAAATACTTCGTTACTGTCCTTAAGTACATTTTTCTGGTGTCAGTACTTTACTCCACTACTTATTTTTCTGATGACTTTTTACTTTGACTTCTTACATTTTGAACACAAATACCTGTGCTTTATACTTCTTACATTTTCCAAACAGGCTGGTTCCCTGGTGGTGTGATCGTTATTATTTAGTTATTGCGTGCCTATTGATTTGAACACGATCCGTGTATCCATCATTTCCTGGTCTTCTCTAAAGAAGAGGGACCAATGAAAACGTTGTCATGTTGCCGTTGGTCACCATGGAAACATTCATTAGCTAACAATGACATTATTGTTCTATTAATATAAAGGGAGGTCAGGTACTCTTTAAAACAGCTGCTAGTTATGGGTACTTTTTACTCGAAGCCTATACTTCTTTACTTTTACTTGAGTAAAGAAGTTTAGTCAGTACTTCTACTTTCACCAGAGTATTTTTAAACATCTGTATTTCTACTTGAGTAAAGGGTGTGTGTACTTCTCTGATCCTGGGTTACTAAATACATCACAGTTGTTATATTTAGCCTTGTAAGTTGATCCGCTCGGTAAGCTTTCTTTTTGTCGACAGGTCTTCTCTCACTGAGTTATAACTCACCCCTTCCTCATCCTCAATGATGTCATTTCCTATGGAGGCCAGTGTGGTCCATTTGCAGTTGTTGGTGGAGCGGACTGCACAGCGCTTATGAGCCTTGAACTTGCAAACTGCAGGAAAGAAGTCAATAAACGTCATCGTTATTTCATCGTTAAATAAATATCCATGACAATTCAAATGCATGATTTGCTTGGCAAGTTATTGAAACATTTTTTACACTGTTATTTATCATTATTCACAACTTAAAGACGGACCAATCGTTCAGCTAAAATGGAAAAAAAGCTAGAATTGTTGGTATGCTTGGATGAATAAGACCATGATATGTCTATTATGTAATCTCTTTCAGAACTAGTTCAACCATTTTAGTTTTTGAATGAGTGTTGGACCAATTATGCTCCATTTATCGGTTGTTTTTTATGTTTCAAAGTCATAAATAACTCCCTGGTCGGCACTCTGTTTTTTTTACTGCTGAGCTGAGGAATGTTTCCAGTTATTAACTGTCTTGTCACAGTCACGTGTTCTAAATAGTTTTCTAGAAGACTGACAGGAAAAGGGATATTTATGTAACAGCATGGTACATTTAAACATGATTGCTTAGTGTTGAGAAAATCATGTGATTAACATGATGATTCAGCCTCTATGGAGAGAGACATAGGACAAGCATGATCATTTCTGACGTGGAGCTAATCTGAAGTAAACATTGAATACTGCTTTCTATTCCTCCATCTTGTGAAAGTCAACATTTGGAGATTTAGAGTAAAAGTCAGTATTTTGAGGTTTTGAGAAAAAAGTCAGCATTTTGAGAAAAAAGTAAGAATTTAGAGAAAAAGTCAGAATGTTGAGAAAAAAGTAAGAATTTTGAGATTTAGAGAAAAAGTCAGAATTTTGAGAAAATAGTCAGAATTTTGAGGAAAAAGTCAGAATTTTGAGAAAATAGTCAGAATTTTGAGGTTTTGAGAAAAAAGTCAGAATTTTGAGAAAAAAGTAAGAATTTTGAGAAAAAGTCAGAATGTTGAGAAAAAAGTAAGAATTTTGAGATTTAGAGAAAAAAGTAAGAATTTTGGGAAAAAAGTCAGAATTTTGAGATTTAGAGAAAAAAGTAAGAATTTTGAGAAAAAAGTCAGAATTTTGAGAAAATAGTCAGATTTTTGAGGGAAAAGTCGGAATTTTGAGAAAATAGTCAGAGTTTTAAGGAAAAAGTCAGAATTAAAAAAAACAAATTTCAACAATTTGAGAATTTCTTTCGAGATTTTACGAAAGTCAGAATTTTTTGAATTTGCGAAAAAAAACAAAATATTTTTTTTCAGAATTTGGAGATTTTGCGAAAAAGTCAGAATTTGGAGATTTTCAGAAAAAAGCCAACATTTTGAGAAAAAGTCAGTATTTTGTACATGACAGGATGTATGATTAACTAACTCCCTCTCTTGTATGTCAGCATGTGAAGGACACTGTTCAGGAACTAGTTGATGCTCTGTATGTGATGGCTACTTCCATTCTGGAGAGGATCACACATGGATCCTGAGGTTGAAGCTCAAGCCGGTGACGAGTGATATTTTTCTCACACTAAGTACATTGTGTGTGTGTGTGTGTGTGTGTGTGTGTGTGTGTGTGTGTGTGTGTGTGTGTGTGTGTGTGTGTGTGTGTGTGTGCGCGCATACCCTCGCAGGACAGGCCGTGGGAAGTGACGCCTGGCAGAGCCTCCCGGCAGACGTTACAGAAGGTCGGTCTGGCGTGAGAGCAGGCGTACCAGTTGTGCATCCCGGAGAAATGCTCCATGTTGAACTGGCTGGCCTGAAGGAGAAGGAGGAGGAGGAGGAGGAGGAGGAAGAGAGAGACGACAGCGCTTCATGTTAAACTGGCTAGATTCAGAAGATGGAAACAAAAGCAAAAGTCATCCGAGCGCTACGTCAGAATATGTAGCCTGGGGGAGGACAGATATTGCAGGATGGGGCGATGACTCTTTGTATTTCACGCTGGACTACATAGCCAGAGGAAACATGGATTACCATCACTTCAGTCACATGCTTTCATCACATGGCAATACTTATGTTGATGTATAATGTTGTATTTAGTTTTTATAATTCTTCTTGTGATTTGGTATAATACATTTGTATTAGATTTGATTTGATAATGACGTCAGCAGTACCCATTAAACGTTGTTGCCTCGGGATTGGGACGATGATAACTTCACTACAGCTGACTGGCAATTAACCTCCCTAAACAGAATGATCCACTCTCCTCCTTGTGAGAAAGTGTTCACAGCTAGAGGTATCAGAATGTCGGATCTGTAAAAAGGATTTGTTCTGAGAATATGCCATCCTCAGTTTGATAAGTGCTCCTGAAGTAGTGTTAACGACTAACAAGATAACGGCAGACTCCTAAATGTGAGAAACATCGAAACCGAATGAGAGAAATTCAGCTCGGCTTTAAAGGCAGCTTACAGTCTACGGCTCTCTTTATAGCACCTTAAAAAACAAGGGTTTATGAGCAATATGCATCTGGAAGGAAAGCTTAAGTGAAAGTACATGAGAGAAAAATGAGGGGGAGAGTATGTTGTTCCAAGAGAGCAGAACAGGACGATATGTTGTGAAAAGAACTAATGCCCCTTTCACACCAAGGCTTTTCCCGTTCTAGCTCCGTGCGAGAGCTTTTCTGGTTCGGAACCGGTTCTTCGGTTCAGCCCCCGCTCTGTTCACACCGCTCAGAGCCCGACTGGTGCAGCGTCATAGTTTGCGTCATGACGTAACCGTTAGCGTGCCTGCTTCATAAAGCCAAACCGCGCGGAAACCCCTCACATCGACAACAATGACCTAATGACGGAGTATTGAAGCGCTACTCGTTTTGGTTTTGCTCTGTCGAAACTAAATGGAAGAAGTGTTCTTTGCTGTGAAGCGCTTCGAGATTTGTCTTGGCAGATGAGAAGCGCTATATAAATTAAATGTATTATTATTATTATTATTATCAAGGGGGACAACTTTACATTCGTTACATGCTACATTCAAGACTTCTTTACAATCATCATCAACTTCAACGACGATTCCGTAGGAGAAAGAAGGAAAATATACGTCCTATTCGATGGCGTTAGAGCTAGCTGTTGTTAGCCTCTGCATGCGCCAAGCTCAAAATACCCAGCTTTGCAGCATTAATTACTGTGGTATAACATTACAACTGATGCCCCTGCCCCCGCCTCCGACGTAAGCGTGACGTAAGCGGTGCTTGCTTTCTAGACCGACAACGGTTTGGTGCTTGAAACGAACCGGATTCCGCTGCGGTGTGAACAGGAAAAAACGGTGCTTTTCAAGCTCCAGCTCCGAACCGGCCCTGGAACGGCGTTGGTGTGAAAGGGGCATAACGGGCGAAGAATGGAGAACTCACTAGCTTTTTATAATAGGTGCGTCAATGTCCTTAGGATTTTCAAGGTGTAAGCGCAGAATAAATAACAATATCAGAAATGTTAAGACGCTAACTTCGTAGGTTTCCCATTTCTGGACGGACTTGAGAGCGCCGATCCAGTCCTCCATTTCCTTCCTGCTCTCAGCACAGAGCATTAGTTTGCGAAATGGAGTGATCACCTGAGGAAGAAGGGACATTTTTTTTTAATTGAGTAAAATGTACTTCAGTTATTAATTTGTCGACATTGCATCACATTATTGGAGCCATGCTAGTAGCCCTGAGAAGCTAAATGCTAACGTCAGCATGCTAACATACTCATAAGACAGTGCTAACATGCTTATGTTGAGCTAGTGTGCTAAAATGTGTGTATTAGCTTCTTAAACACAATGTACAGATAAGACTGGTGGGCTAATGGGAATGTCACTAGTGGTGCAGGTACAGTTTAAGTGTTGGATGAATCCTATTAAGATAAACTAAAATACAACTAGATGTCACAGATAATCAAATGGTAAAAAATAACTGTAGTTTGGAATTTTGTCATAACATGCCATTGAAAACTGATCCAAATAAACCATTTTGTAATGCTTTAATCAACATTTGAGAGCCATCTTGTATCTTACTGTGAAGCTGTTGTTGATGTTCTTGGTGCTGGTCTCGGCCACGCTGGCGTCTGATAGGTCCACTTCATCGAAAATCAGAGACTGACGGGGGAACAACACGAAAATTCAAACACCAGCTTCTCCTGCCTTTCCCATACAAATGGATGTGTTGTAACATACTGTATATCACATGTTTACTTTTCCCTGACACTTAATATTCATTTCTGTCCAATTTGAGATTTGATTTGTATGTGCAGTGCTTATACATTTGACATTTAAAGCTGCCGTTTCAAACACTCTTGTACCTTGCAGTCTTTGGCGTAGTAGAGTGTCCTCCCTCTGAGTTTGAAGTACCTCCTCTTCCATCTCTGAAAAGAACTGGTCTGCTTTAAGAGGATTCCCTCCTTCACACTTTTCTGTAGTGACACACAGAGAGGACAAAAGGGGGAAGGATTGGAGGAGAGGGAAGGAAATGAATAACAGATGTTAGTGCATCCAGACACCCCAAATTACTAGTGACAGCTGTTCTACCTGGACTCACACACAAACAGAAGGAGAGCAGAGAGGTGTTTACTGAATCTGTCAAGGTGAGACTCTCACAGAAAGGTTCATTTACCTTCCAGTCATTATTAACGTAACACCACTGTTCTAATAACCTTCCCCGGGCACTGCAGATGAACATTATCTCGTTAGATAACTCTCCCTGGTAAACAAATATATGAATGTTCGGAAATGCAAATGATGAATTCATCGTGTCGGGATGCCTCTGGAAATATGTTCCCTTGTGTTTACAAAAATAGCATCTGTTAAATAAGAAAACGAGGAAGCTACGTCTGGCTGAGGTCCAGTATTTGTGTGTAAATGGCAAAAAGTAATACAGAAAAGGGTAAGTAATGTCCTGTGCTGCCATTACAGAAGCAACAGGGATGAAATGATGGTGAAAGGTGGAGGTGCAGACGTGTGTGTGTGTGTGTGTGTGTGTGTGTGTGTGTGTGTGTGTGTGTGTGTGTGTGTGTGTGTGTGTGTGTGTGGCCTGCATGTTTTCATACCAGAAATGTCACTTCTCCCTAGGGGTTATTCATACAGGCTGATATAGCTGGAGTGGATTAACAAGAAATGTTTAAGAGGAAACATAAATTCCCTACAACCGAAATGTTGCTGCCAAAGAAACTATATTTACTAGACGTATAAAACCAATTTTTTCGGAAAAAGTTTGATTTTAGATTCGTCAGAAGACATGTCTTAATGTTATTCAATCCTTTCTTAACAAATGCTAGGACTTTAGCACTTATTTTCTGAATTACTTTCCATCAGAAACATCCAGACAAAGATGATACTTTCTCGGTTTGAACATAAACAAATTACTTCAAAATATGGTCCTTTTATTTCACATCGTGTCAGAGATGAGATGTTGAGTTTTATTTCCAAACAACAATTATGAACTGAGCTATTTTGGTTTTGAAAAGCTGACTCTTCAAAATCAAAATAGAAACAATAACGTTAGAAAAACCATGAAGGAGGCTATCTGCAAACCCTATTATAATGTGTCCCAGACAATTTGGATATGACATGAATCATGCTGCTCTTTGGAAAAGCCTCAAGGACAAATGCCGGCGCACGGTAATCAGCAGACACAGTGAATAAGGTCATCTATTTATCACCCGATTCCCCGAAGTTCTTTACGTCATCTGAAACAGCTTGCACAACCTGCAATGCCACTATCAACTGAGCACAAAGGTGACCTGTTGGCGTGTAAACATGAATCAGAGATGTTGAAATAATCCCTAAGGGGTTGCGTGAACAAGAATTACAACTTTGTTTTAGTGTTAATGAAATGGTAGTGAGAGTGTATCAAACTTGAATGTGTGTAAATGATTCCCTTCCCACCTCAAGGCGATAAAACTCGGGAGAAATCGTAATTGAATTTGAGTAATTTGGATGAAGGGTGTTCGGTTGTTTTGGGATTTGTTATTCAGTGAATTAAGCTGTAAAAAAGGCGAGAAGTAATCATTAACATTGAGAGCTGTCAGAGGTAAAGAGCTTTTTATTGACGCTAGTTTGCAACCACAAAATATAAGAAGAAGTGCTAAAAGGAAAGTGGGAGGGAGTAAAGACAGTTATTGCTTTATCTCTAAATAAGGAGCCGGCTGATGAATAGCGCTATAATAAAAAGACAGAACAGACAACGACCAATGCTTCCCTCAACAAAGATATGTTGTTTCCCTGACTTGATCAACTTGGCAGGGTCTCTCCAGCATGACTGAAGAACTCTGCCCTGAAGGAAATATGTATTTCAGACGAAACATACGTCACCTCTATGATAAATGCCAGCCTTGGCTTACACAAGAGAAGAGAGAGTCATGCCAACGTTTAAATTGAAGTCAGAAACTGTCAGACTGCGTGACATAACAAAATAAGGCTGACGTGATATCAAAAAACATGTTTAGAATTCCCCAAACTAAGGTATCCAAACACATTGTTTGCTTAAGAGCTGGGACTAAAATATGACTTGGCTAAGACGATCAGAAGTGAAACGTAGCCTTATTGCTAGCTAGTTAGCTTAGCAGATGCTGTGCTTTAGTACTTAGCTTTTGAATGATACTTGTAATTTATATTGGCTGTGTTATATTGCTTGTAAGCTAGGGCTGCTCAATTAAATCATATTTGAATCGCGATTACGATTATGGCTTGCAAAGATTACGAAAACAACGTAATCGAAATAAAACGATTATTTTTGTATTATTACTTTTTTTTTTTATATAATTTTCTTTTTAAATTATACTTAAAGTTCAGGGTAATCAACTGTTAAAAACATACCGTTCACATTTTTTCTCTCCAATAAATGGATGTTTTCAAAGTCAATGAATAATCGCAATTACAATTATTGACCCAAATAATCGAGATTATGATTTTTGCCATAATCGAGCAGCCCTATTGTAAACTGTGTTGCTAGCACTTCGTATGTCAGTATATCTTGTACAATGGTTAGTAAGTTGACAAAATAAGTATTTTATCCTTCAGTTACTAGAGTAACCTTGCTATTGGAGCAGCTAACGGTACATCTGCTCTTTTGTAACCTCCTTATTTCCCTCCATCTCTTTCTCTTTAAGCTGTGTGTACAGTCATTTCCCATCATCTCTTTCTACCTCAATGTCACTCATCGATCACTCTTTCTCTCCTTCCTCGTCATTTTCCGTGTTACTTTATCTGCTCGTCTGTCTTTGCAGCATGCTAATGGCCTTGGCATGAGTAACACAAGGCAGAAGCGCCTCAACTCTAATCCATCAGTTCATAATTTCTCCATTGCCTCTCTGCGTGTGTTTGTGTACACGTGTGTCCCTGAGATAGCTAGTAATGAGCTTCTTGTGCTGCCACAGTGCATGTTTCTATCTTAGAATAAATGTGTTTTTGTACCCTTAGGGATCTCATATTGTGACAGAAAAAAGAGAGGAGGGGAAGGATTGATGGTGGCTGCCATGATAGATATCCCAATGATATGGATCATTAGTGAGCGGAGATAGGAAAAGGAAAACAGAGCTGTGGCAGCGGCGAGGAAAGAGGAACACAAAAAGTGTTGAAATGACAACAAACAGGGACTCTCTGGGGGGTTGACATGAGATGGCCTTGAAGAGGAGGAGGAGGAGGAGGAAGAAAGAGGAAAACACACCAACAACACGGTGTAAAGGTCTCTTTGAAAGAACCACCTGACACATTGCAGATAACGGAGAGGTGAAGCACACCTTCTCCACCAATCAGGCGTCTTCACAGTTCCCACAGCAACTCTCACAGGAGCCGTCAGTCAAGAAGCTAATCTGAGAGGTTTGTTTGTTTGCTAATGACATAGCAACCGCTGATATAGCTCAAGGACGTTCAGTACTGTATGTTTGACCCAACTATGTCTGTGTGAAACCTATAGACGCTGCATTTGAAGTGGTGTAAGAAATCCACAGCTGCTAACAGAAGGCTAAGCTTGCGAGCTGTCCATTTAGCGAAAGAGAAAATATAAAAGATGTATGGAAACACTTGAGTATTACGTTGAAAATGAGGGTTGGAATCTTGAATTTTATTTTTAAGAAGCTGTTTGTGACTTTACAGAATTTGGATGTGAGAAAATGCTGCTAAAAGAAAAGTGTTATTTGGGCTTGGCAACACCAAGATAGCAAGACTTAGCTGAGTACGTTTACAGAAACAACGTTTACATTTAGGGCGTTACAAGTGTGCTTATAGATGGGTGCAGCCACTAATGCTGACAGTTTGGGGCGGGTTTTCATAAAACTAAGTAAGGTAGATTTGTTAGACCAACCACACTGTCCTTTGGGATTTTCAAGGTGCTACTTTTGCACACCATACAAACCGTAATTCTCTACACATATACAGGGTTACTACGGAGAGAGGTGTTGCAGAATAACCCAGATTAATCACATTATTATACACACTGCTGCAACATGTGTGACCTTCTCACAACATCTCCTCAGGGCCACTTCTGTACCCATAATGTCATTTTAATCAAGTTTACAAGACTTGCTTGTGATTGGCTACTGCAACAGAGACATATTACCAAGCAAAAAGATTTAAAAAAAAGAACACGTGTATCATGCATATGCTGCATAAACATTATGGTATGCAAAGGTCAGATTCTGCAGCTAGCAGTCAGACAGTACAGTAGCCACACCCTTGATGCTCCTCTCTGCTCTCCAGCTGAGTGATGTTGTCAGACAGATCAGTGTATTCATTAGAGCGGCACTAATTACATCACAACAATCAGCCCCTGTAGACCTGATGTTGACACACACACACACACACACACACACACACACACACACACACACACACACACACACACACACACACACACACACACACACACACACACACACACACACACCATGTATACATCACTTCAGGGGACATTACATTGACTTACATGCATTTCCTGGAGACTTATCCTAACCAAGTCTTCACCCTACAATGAAGGGAGGCGAGTCCCCACACATGACTGTGTAAACAGATTTAGGTCCCCACAAGTATAGTAATGCTAGGAGACACACACACACACACACACACACACACACACACACACACACACACACACACACACACA